TACAATTTTTGATATTACAGTTTTAATCTAGCAACTCTGTGGTACCACAGACGTATATTATTAATATAATAATACCAATAAAGCAATATAAAAGCTAAATATCAGCAAACATTTGAACTTAATTCCAAAAGTCATTGACACACCTCTTAAAATTCTTAAAGCTCAATTTTTTTATATCAAGACAACCTTATTTTGATCTTAAAAGTCACATCAAATCATGTCTCACTCCAACCAAAAAAAAAAAACTAGCGAAAATTCATCATATTAATGTGACAAAAGAGCTGAATGTTACTTCATTCAAGATTTTTTTGCTTGTAAAATTGTCTCAAATTATTCAAAAATATATTAAAAATAATCTTATAAATAAACCTCAACAAAAGTCTACCAACCTCGACTTCCAAGGTGATTTACAGAAAAAATTATTTTTTTAATAAGGAACGAAGAAAATCAAAAAGTTGCTTTTGTTCTCCACCAACAATGCTAATTAACTCATTTATTTTCGGTTATATAAAAAAATTAAAAAAAAAGAAAGAAAAAGTCATATTTGTTAAATATTAATGTCGTCCGTATAAAAACCCATCTTCAAAGTCATCATCAACAAACATCTAAAGAAATAACTATTTACAATTAGCATCAGCATGCAAGTCTCTCCATCTTCACAGTGCACTTAAAGCTTGTCGACTTTACGTTCTCTAAGATTTTTTTATTTCTTCATATTATGTACATTCATAAATGCATATCTGAATATTATTTGCATGAGAATTTTGTTGTGTAGCTGTTTATCTCAATGTGTATGAATTTTTTTTGTGTTTTTTTTTTTGCATCTTACACGAAAAAAAAAAATGTGAGAATAAATTATTATTTTTTGCATATTTTAATTTAAAATAAAAAAAAGAGAGAAATAAAAAAAAATTTAATTATATTTATGAAGTTTTTTTTTCTTATCCTATCGCGATTTAAATGCTACTGCTGTTATGTGCTGTGTGTATATTTTTTTTATTCTTTTTTTATTTATACTTATACTTTTTTTTCAAAAAGGGGAAAAATAGCGTTATTCCTCGGCTCTTTCCTACAGCACAAAAAAACCTTGAGCTTTTTCACTGTTTCAACTCAACACGAATCGCTGATTGTTGTAGTTGCTATTTTATTTATTACTTTTTTGTCATTACTTTATTATTTTAATTTTTTTTCTTCTCTCGGCTGCATTATTATTGTAAAAATTACTCCCTTGCACATGTACAGTAATGACTCGGTGCTTTTTTTGCACTTCCAAAGAAGTTCAGAGGAAAAAAATTATTTCCAAGTAGCTCTCGATAAATGCGGTTTCCTCATCAACCTTTTTTTGTTGCACATTTTTCTACTAATTTTTGAGAATCTAATTTTGAGGTTGCGGTTTGTCTGAGATCAAGCATCCTCACTAATGATTTCTTTGTTTTTTTTTTTTATCTAAGTCATCTTCTAATGACATTGAATCCGAGTCTTAGTTTTGATCACGTTAGGTTCTTTTTAAGAGATTTTGAAGCTCATTTGTTAAGACTTCCAACCCTAGCAACTATCTCATCTTCGATTAAAAAGACTCTGATCCCATGTATCAAAATTTTTATTAAATAATGATTCTAAAAGTCACATAAAATGAGGAACAGTTTTAAAAAAACTTCATATGTAGAGGAGACGGTTTCACTGTAATCAGTTCATCAATAAATTGTCAAAAAAATCTTTCATTGTACTTCAAAATAAAGTTTTTAATTCTTCAACAAAAACAAAGTCAATGAAAGTAGAACCTTTGACAGGGATTTCCTCAATAACCCCACATTAAAATTTTATCGTCACGAAATCGTGCTCAATCTGTTTAAGTCGACAATGCCCACGCTTCTTTTATGAACCCCATTTGCATAGACAGGTGCTGTCGTTATTGTGTATTAATTTGGCTCAAGCATTTAAAAATTTTGTTTTAACGATAATATAAAGATTTAATTGGGACAAATTATTAATCACAATGATTTTGAGGTTATGGGAGGTTTTTGGGCAGTCAATTGCAATTAGGATTAATTCTCATGAAAAAATCTTTACCCTTCAAATTTTAAGCTTTCTAAATTTACTTCAAAGCTTATCTCCAAAAAATATTAAGACGTAGTTATAGGAGTGGTTTTGGTTTTCATTTTTATTTTCTTTAATTATGATAAGGTTCAATATTGACAAAATTTCTGCGATTGGTTTATCAAAAAATTCTGAAGTTCAATGATAAAATCAGGACTTAAGGCTATTATATTTATTTATGGATTCTAGACTGGCTAGACTGGCTTGACTTTCGGTTGACATGGGATGGTGCCAGTGAAGCAAGAAGGTAATGATTTAAAGAAAAGTTCCTTGATTTTCTAGAATTTTTGGATTCAGTCAATAACTCAATGAACGATTTCCTTCCTTACTATGACTCTAGTTTTATGGTCAAAAGCTAGCGACATTAATTTATCAATGCATCAAAAAATGTAAGTGCGCTCCTAGTTCCAAATCAAAAATGTGATTTATATAATTTTATTTCTCCCCATCATTACAGCAGCAGTAAGCAGTAGCAGCAAAAAACAAAAAAAAAAGAATTTCAATGATTCTCCTAAACATGACATTGTATATAGTGTATGCATACCTCACTGTATTTCATTTCATGTTTCATTTTATTATATTTTTTATAAATAAAAAAGACTGAAAAAAGCGATGTTTCAAGGTATCTCAGTGTAATTTAATGTTTTTATACTCAGATAGACTTTGGAGTTTTTTTTTCTCTCTTTTTGCAGCACAGAAAAAAAACACGACTTCGTAGCAGGATAATTATTTCAATGTGAAATTGTTGAATACAATCGTAAAAATTCCTTATATGTATGTTGTGTGTATGGCAACATTTCATGCGAACTTTCAACTTAACAGCGATAAAAAATAATAAAAGCATGGCGAAAAAAGAAAATAAATTTATTTAACATGAATGAAGAAAAAGAAATGAGAAAAGAAACAATTTTTCCGTTCCGAGAAAACGGGAAGGAGATTTTTGAAATTTTTTTTTAATATTTTTTTTCGTAAACAACTCTATAGAAATTCTCATGTTTTTTTATGACGAACGTCGATAAACCGCTAATCATCAATGCTATTATAGCGAAAAAAATACAACAAACTATTTCAATTTTGTTTTTTATATTTTTGTTGTTTTCATTTCATTTGCTGATATTTTGTGTTCAGGTCGATGCAAATTGTCGCATTTTGTCTGTATGGACATGAGTGTCTTTAGGTTATATAGTATCTCGCAATCAAAAAAAATCAGCTCCAATTTTTCATCATTAAATGTGAGACAAAATGTGTTAAACTTTTTCTAGGAAACTGAGATAATGTCGTCAAGTGTCTGATTGATAGAGTCTGTAATTTACGTATTCAAATTGCTTCTTTGAATTTAACTTCTTAAATGATAATAATATGCTCCCACCAAGTGTTTTAGAACCTCATGCTCAGTATTTCAAAAAAAAGTTCAATTTTTATTAACCGAAAAATTTTAAATTAAAAATTCATTAAAATCGTGAAAATTGTGTTTTTAAAAATAATAAAACAGGCAATAATTTTGATAAGGCATAACCTTGTTATTAATATTTTTATCAGGTTAATTAGGGTGAATTTTTTGAAAGGAACTGATATTTCCTTTGGTTGAGGATGTGTGAAAAAGTTTTGTGTAGTTCCAAAAAATCCCCAAGAAAAATCAGTTTTTGATTGTAGTTTTTTTCGAAAATAATTCCGTAATATTTCCTAAACATGAATCGATTTAGGTTTTGAGAGGTCATTTGGAATAACATCTAGCATGTGCCAATGTAAAAAACTATTGATGGTCATTTGAAATTGTTTTTTAAATTAAATTGAATTAATGATTTAAAATTCAGATTTTATTTGCCTCAAAACTTCAGTTTAAGAACCAAAAAAGAAAAAAATCAAAAGCAAATTATAAGAAAATATTCGAATATATTCAGAAATCACCGAAATGAACAGCAAAAAATTCCATGCCGGAAGTTCCAATAAAAATATCAATTTGCTCAAATTTACAAAAAAAAAAAAATAACTCGTAAGTCAAAAAACAAAAAACAAATTCCAAACTTTAGATAATCGTGCAGCTTTGCATGTCTCCATATAAAAAAAATTCACAGACATCATCCAAAACAAATTATTAATCTACTCAGGATGCGCAGCTATCTTACTGTAAACTTACTAAAGTATATGACAAATTATTTTCAAAACAAAATTCTGAATTTTTCGCTATAAATTTCATCAATTTATGACTATGCCTTATTCGTTATCAATTTGAATACAATTTTGGATCAAAACAAATTACTAGTCTAGTCTGGTGAAATTAAAGTTTGATTGCTAAGATTGAAAATGCGTTCATATCTATGACATAGTGACTTTGCAGTCACTTTTTGTTTCTATTTTATTCGCATTTTTTTATCTAACCCAGCACTAACAAAAAAAAAACTGTCATTTCTGTGATGTCGAGTGAACAAGAGCACAAGAAATGTTAAAAAATAATATTAACTTTGTGGATGTTTATCAATGACGTCTATTGAAATGTTGGGATTTTTTTCACTTTCTTGGAAGCATTAATATTGTCAACTTTTGGGGGGGTTGAATATTTTTATATTTAAGCATCTTTGCCTGGTTTTGGGGCTTAAGCACCTTAATTGAAGCAGCCATCTTTATACGATCATTTATCAAGAGATAATAACTTTCTTAAAAATAGAATTATTTTAAAAACCTATTTACCCCCCCCCCCCCCCCTCTACTGTACGTAATAAATGTACGAAATTTTTAAAACCAGTTTAAAATTTAAAATTTACGAAAATTGTCATTAAATAGACCACATTCAAAACTCCCCCCTCCACATCTAAAAGTCATAATTTATGGACGTCATTAATGAACAAACCTCTTATGAAGAATAAAAAACAATGTTGAACGAGAAAAAAAATTATTTTACTTACGTCTCTCGCTTATTCTTTAATTTTCCGCCTTTTTCCAACTTCTTATATATGAAGCACACAGAGAAGAATCAACACAAGACCCAACAATTACTTTTTCATATATTATTTTATATTTTATTATTTTTTTCTTCTTCTCTTTCTTGAAAATTATGTCTAATGGTATGAAGGTTGAAAAAAAATTATTATTTCAATGTTTTTTTTTATGTGTTATTTCTTTGGAATTCCTCAAAATACTGTGAAAAATGATTACTCATTTGAAAATCGTGTTTTTAATATGAATTTAATATTCCTCAAGCACAAATTTTTTTTCAATTTTAATTCACATACAAAGGCGATCGTTTTTCGTTTATTTGTCACACTAGCAATTTTTAATTTATTTTTTTTATGAAATCTTGTTCAGGGTCTGGTTTCTTTATTTTATTGTGATCTTCAAGTAAACGACCACTATGAATTTTTTTTCAACCCAAAAAAAAAGTAATATTCTGTTTTTATTAGCAATCAATCACGCACACAAAATATAATATTATATTGTATCAAAACATGACCACGAGTAAAACTAGCATGTACTAGCAAAGAGCAATTTTACGACTTTTCTTTTTTTATTATTTTCCACACACAATATCTTCATAAAATATGTATTTTTCTCCTCTTGCTGTTTCTTTCTTTTTTTTATTTTATATATATTGTATTAATACTTTGAGGAAGAAAAAAAGTGCACAATAATTTTTTTTTTCTTTTTTTTTTGTTGTTCAGCTCTTCAACACACAACAAAAAATCACTGCGGAGAAAATGCACAAACGTCTTGCTTGCTCAACGAATAAAATACAAATGCACACCGTTTTATTTTGTTTTCGTATGGAATGAATGAAGTTTCCTGTGATAAAAAAAAAAATGCTGAATGAAAAAAAAAAGTAATAAGAAGTGGAAGAATAAAAAAAAAGTCTCTCAAAATTATAACAAAATTTTTATTTTCTCTCGCAAAGTTTCTCTCTTGAACGCTGTCTGGCCCAATGAGTATGTACTTTTATAAGTATTACTAGGAATAGTGTTGATTTTTTTTTTGTTTTTCAAATGGAAAATTTTCAAATCATTATTATATGTTTTTTGTTTTTAATAAAAAATTTAAATGAAGCATTAAAATATTTTATTCAGTTTTTTGTTGTTATAAATTTGTAGATTAGTATTTACTAGCTAGTCATGTGTTTATTTTTAATTTATTTTTTTGAAATTAAATTAACTTGTTTTGTGAAATAATAAAATTTTTTTTCCTAGTTTTGACATCCTCAAAAGACCTGCAACTTAAAAGGTTTCGATTGTATATGAAATATTTTTGTAAATTATTGGGTGATCTTGAGGAGGTGTTCGTGTACCTAAGAAACTTCTATGACTTACATCATACTCATGTCTCTGCCAAAGAATTTTAATTTCATTCAAATTATGGTCAAATATAAAAGCATGAAAGTTTAATTAAACCATAAATTCACCAGTCTATATAATTTAATCTATTTATCAATCCAAGGTTTGGTTCCAATACTACACCTTGCACCTATCATAAATATTTTTAAAAAAAGGTTTCAGTGAAGCATGCTTTATATTCACAATGCTACAGAGGCACCTGCCCTAGCCCACAGTTGAACTTTATTCATACTCCCCATTCTATACTATGGGAGATTGGGGAAACTAAAGTCCGACTCCAAAGCGAGCTAAATGTTCTACTCGTGGTATTCCCTTGCTACATGACGTAGAACAGTGATGAATGCCAGCTTAATTTGCGGACAGAGATTTTATACAAACTAGGTGACAAGGCCAGCAACAGAGTCGGATGGAAAGCCTTTTGTTGTAACCTAATCTCCACATAGGAACATGGTTACAGTAAGGAAATAAGTTAGTATTCTATTCAAAGATGTTCGATCCTAGTGTAGACTTAGGTAACCTTAGAAACAGGGTTTTACGCTTAAGAGTCCGATTCATGGAAAAATCTTTTAAATCGGCATTGATGTTGCTTAGCGCTTAGTTCAACAGCAAAAAAAGACATTGTTATTAAAGTTAACATTCATATTTTCTCTACCTAGCCCAAAAAAAGATAATTTCAAAATTACAAAAAAGGAAAAAAAAAATAATTCAATATTATAAATTCAAAAAAAGTCAATTTAAATTTTTTGTTGTCAATTCAACCCCAGCACTTAAAAATAAATTCCTCACTGGCATCTAAACAAAAAAAAACCTCACCAATTCTCTCATTCTCTCAATCCATCGTCGAGAAAGAAGAAAAAAAAAACTCTTTTTTTGTGCCATGTGATTTCATTGCTTTACCAAACAAATTTTCAAAGCATTGAATTGATGCTGATTCGAGTTGTAATCTCAAATACATAATAATGACGTTTGTTATTGTTTTGTTGCTTCAAACGCACCACATGTTTTTTGTGGATGTACGAGAAATTGAAAGCATGCGATTTCGTCAAATGAATTGTTTTCTTTTTTTAAATTTGATGATATCATTTTGGGTTTTTTTTCTCTTCTGTTGGATGTAAAATATGAATGATGTGTATTAATAGAAGCGGTTGTGCTTCTCGTTTGTTATCGTACCATAGATGGATGAAAGGAAAGGAGAAAGGATATAGCACACAGCACACAAAAAAAAAGTTGCTGCAAAATTTTTATCGCGCTAATGTATTTTTTGTAGCATGGGGAGGGTGGCACAAAAAAAAAATTGCTTCCCATTTTTATTTTCACTCAGTAATTTTTTTGCGCTATAATGAATACATTCAGAAAAAAAACTCATTTTCTTCCTCAGCACAATATTTTTTATCAAAAGCAGAAAAAAAATGAGAGAAGAAAAAAACTATGCGTTTGTTGTTGTGAAACCGCTTTTTCCAGTGTTTCTGAGAACGACTGAAAATAACAATCGAGCGGCAAAAAATTCTCCGCTTGCGCAATTCAATCGCACAAGAATTTCACAATTTTTTTTTTCGAAAAGCACACTGAAGAAGAATCAGCAAGCGTTATAAAAAAAAGCCAACACAAAAAAATTTTAAAAAGGGGAATCACGTGTTGGAGTGGGACTTATCAAAAAGATTTATTGTTCTGATATGAGATAGGTTTAAGTACAAGTTCTTGGAACTTGAGGTCTGACGAATTCATATGTGAATTCATAATTAATTATTTCGTTTATAACTGATTAAGTTCAACATTCATGACGAGGGTGTTAAATAAAGACAAAATGCTTAGGTTAGGTCTCAAACCTGCGACTGACTATAAGTCAAAAATGTCAAGCTTAAAAGCCACATCAACTCACAAATAATATTTTACAGTTCCTTATATATTTTTCGAATGGGTAAATCCAAAATTCAATCCACAATTACCAGAAACAGTTTAAAACCCATACTTTGGAATTTCTAGATTCAAACCACAAAATTTATGGTTTTCAATTCTATCCCATTATCAGTAGACACTTAGTCTACACAGAAAATCGCATAAGAATATTAATGTCGCTAGATTAATAAACAATCATTCTTGGAAATTGAATGTCAATTTCACCTTAAAAGCAACTCCACTTGAAAAAGTTGAATTTTAAAGTCCACAATGAAAAAAATATCTCATTTATTTTTAACCCAATCGCTATTTTTATCATATCAGACACGTCAAGAGGGTTTAGATCATCAAAAAAAAAAAATTATCAAAATTCAATGGAAATTATAAATAAATTTTCAAAAACGACTTTAATGGATTTTGTTTGTTATCAACGCGTAATTAGACTAGCTTTTATTTGTTCATATCTTGAAAGAAATAAAAGTGTATTTTAAGATTATAAAATAAATTATTTATTTTTAACTGCAAGCTCATGAAGCTTTTTATCTTAATACAATATAATATCAATGTAAATCCAAACTAGATTGTTCAGTCTGTGTTTTGTAATAATAAGCGGTAAACTATCTTGTTTCTAAGCGAGGGATACAAAAAACGGCGCTCATTGTTTGAATAGATTCGATTTGAATTGGATTTTTCAAGAACTTCTATTCTAGTCTTCTTAAACTAAAGAGTCCAGGAGTCTTCTTACTGAAGAATGATTTAAGAATATATCAACGATCTTTTACTATTCAAATTAAATTTAAATACAATTGGTTGATTTCCCCTCTCTTAAATACTAGCTTGTTTCTTATCTTTTTATGATCCATGAGGAGATTTTAATTACACTTATTAGTAATACAACATTGTTATCATCATCTAACATCAACAGCATTCTGCCTTTCTATATCTTCATTCATTGCTTTTGTCTTTTTTTGCTTTGAGATTCAGCATTTTACGATCCCGTGAAGTTATTGAGTAGTTGTGTTTTTAAGTCTTTGATAAGATTAGAGTTAAAAATAGCCACTAAAATCGTGCTTAGAAGGAACGTTTTGCTTCTTATCAGATAAAATTCACATTTTTAGAAAAATTTGTCAAAACTGCGAATAATGTAACCATAAAGCTTTGTCTAAGTTTATAGAAGGAACAAACATAAAGTTATTCAAATTTACATTCTTTCATTTCTAATGGGATTGTATGGAGAAAGCTCCGTAGCTTCAAACTACTAAGACCATTCGAGTGCTCTATTCCACCAGTAATTTTTTTTCTGGTTTTTCACTTTTTTCCTCAGATTCTCGCGCCAACAAAAAAAAATATGAAGCATGAAAAAAAATTCACCATTGTCGAGCAAATTTCCCTTGAACATTTCGAAGAATAAAAAAACCTTCGTTGATGGCAAAAAGAAAGAAGGAAAAGAAGAGAAGAAGAAAAAAAATGAAAAAATATCCATCGCTGCCTTTTATGCTCTAGCAAAATTAAAAATATTACATGCAATATAGAATGAGAATTTTTCTCAATTTGCGGATGTGACACGAGAAAAAAATTAGTCTTTTATATATACACACAGAAAAATATACATAATGTATAGGATAAATGATGAAATTCGTTATGTCACGCGATGAATTTTTTTTTCTGTTATTGTCATCAGTAGAAAGTAGGAGGCATTCATTTCCTTCTTATTTTCCATCGTCGCTAGCTGTCCTTACAAGAGAGGGATAATGTACCTTGACTACCAAGAAAATGAGCTCATGCAAACGTCCAGAAGTGAACAAGAGTATGAGGTACAATTGTAAATAGATGAGATGAGGAGAGATAGATAGGCATAAATTGTTAAAAATGCAAATCCTCAACCCTAAAATTCATTTTTTTTTTTATTTTTA